CGAGTGGTTATGGCATCGGGCCTCAAAGTCCTAGGCTGCATGCCTTCGCATAGTAAATTGTATGGAAAAAGTTTTACAGATAAATGTTATCAAAAAATAAAATAATTCTTGAGTAAAGACTGCTAAATTAGTAGCAATGGAGAAATATCCATGTCTCTTTGGTAAAACGAACATTTATTCTAAGAGAGTGAAGCATCTGCCAAAGGATCATTGCTACCCGATTCACTCAGTGAACGCAGGTTCGAATCCTGCCCCTGGGAGGACATTTTTATTGTCTTTCCTACATGAAATAAGCTCGATGTCATAAGACTTTACTTAGTTTTCAAAAATATTTTCTTTCGTTTCCGATTATTTCACCAATTTTGTCGCCCAAACTTCTTTTTTTGTTAAAATTTTATATTTGGGGAAATTTCTCTTGCACTAACTACTACGCTTAAAAAACTCAGAAACTTATTTTATTACGGAAGAGTGAATACAGATCGAAACTGTTTAATTGTTACTTCATCTGAATTCACTACCTTGTGTGAAACTATGCATTTATGCCATCGTTCGTTCAAAGATTTAAATGCAGATCTCAAACCTCCTTTTGCCGCCTCCTCCATTGCCTTCGTCGCTGCACTTTTTCGGAATTTGAGAATCGTTGCCCCTTAAGCAAATTATTTTCCCGACATAAAAGTCATATGGGGTAAGATCAGAGGAATAAACTGGTTGTGGAATTACCGGAATGGTATGTTTTGATATGTAATTTGAGGGATCTGTGAACTGGCGCCTTATAGTGATGAATCACGTATTACTTTGCCTCTTCGGTACGGCAACTTTTTAATGCCTGTAACGCGCATACACTGTACGTTTCCGAACTAGATAAAACCTGTTCTAACTAGTCGGTCACGTCATACTCTTCACTTGTTCATCTCGAAATGGCGTAGTTTTATTTACATTTGGAAACCATTTTAAAGCTACCGAAGTTTTTGAACGTACCCTATTAGCAGAAGATGCTCTACAATATTCAAATGATATACTTAGGATGTTGTGCGTCATTCAGAATATTCAATAAACATCGTGGAGATATCGTAAAATATCTTGTTCTAATAAGGTAGTAGTATGTGACTCATAAGAGAAAATGAATATTTGTTTTAATGTGTGATTGTATCCTTTTTAACGTATATTTGGGATCTTTTCAGAGTATTATCAATGATAAGCTAGGCATAGTTATTTCGTAGACAGACAACAATAAGTTTCAATAATCACAGGTGAAATTTATTCAAAGTTTCCAATTTTATTCTATTCCGCTCCTGAAGAGTTAGATAGTTGTTATTTGTCAGACTCAGAGAATTCATTAGAAAGTTAAGTGTATTCCACGAAAGCGCCTGTAATACCCAGGATAGTCGAGTGGTTGTGACATCGGGCTTGAAAGGTATTCAGGTTGGATACTAGACGCTATGGTGGTTGTCAGTAGAACTATGTGTAAGTTGCACAGATAGATCCGAAGTGTGACAAGACCAGTAAAAAGTAGCATAGATAAGGTTGGATGCTCATGTGTTAGTAGAAGCCTGCAGGAGATTCAGTAAGAGAGAAATCAGGATTTTTTTTAGTAAAGGGAAAACTCGCGGATTCACTGGGATAAAAAAATCATGTCGTATAATCCATCTGAGAGTAAAAGAATCGCCCACAAGTCTGTCACGAAAGGTTAGATGTTCGTGGTTAGAAGATTCATGGTGTGATCGTATATTTCGATTTCTGTTTCCGGATGAATTTTATTTTTTAAATAAATATTTTCGTATGTTTTCAGCTTCTGTTGACGAAAAGCACAGTTTCGATGCTGGTCGTTTTTTAGTACTCTTGATTTGGATTTTTAAGGAGACGTAGAATTGATTTTCCTCTTCCATCTATGTGTATCTCTTAGGGCGTAGAAATTAGTTGCTGGGCCACGATTAGTGTGGACACCCTATATATATATATATATACCAGGTGTCCACTTGCTAAACTTGCTAAGTACATTATATCAGGAAAGATTCAAATATAATCAATATGCTTTAATTCTAAATTTCTCGTTTCTCTCATGTGATTAAGAATTTCTTGAAACTGTCACCTGAATTGATAAAACAATTCATAAAATGAAATGTAAGAAAATAATATTGAATTCATTTGGTTCAAAATAAAAAGTTAGCATGTGCTACCATGAATTTTGATAGAACAGTGAATGAGAATTTATAGGTATGTTCATTGAAATTTGCTAACTTTATTTTGCTTCGTTCATTGTTGATTCTCTACTCATATGAGAGATTTGTGTCACATATAATGATTTGATCTTCGTCGAAAGGGTGACCAAGGTTCTCGCATGGCGTACTAAATTTTAAAAAAATATTTTGATGGAATTTCCGACTTTTAATTCTCATTGCATTTGCTTTCTCCTTTTATCGTCTTTAACTCTGTAAGACTTCGCAGGTGTAAAATCTTATCCACTATTTTCTACATCTTAAAATAACACGCCATTTCATCTATTTATTTTTTTAAAAAAGCACACCATAAAGGTAACTCTATTTTCAGAGTACAATGAACAACAAACACAAAAAAATAAAAGCAAAAATGAGTAAATCATAAATGTGTTAAAACGCATTAAAATGTTGAATACAGAGAATATATAAGTTCAAAAACACAAAACCATAAAAATTTTGCAAACGCATAAATAATTTAAAACGAAAACACGCAATCACAAAAGCATCAAAAGATACACTGGGATTTTAAAAGTCGTATATTGTCATATAAATATCATAAAAAAATAACAAATTTAGAATATTAAATGAAAGACCATTTCAAAAAACAAGGATTAAAAAGTTAAATATACACAAGCACCAAATCTTTAAATATATATTAAATGCATTTTAGCGTCAGACACTGATCACTTTAATTGTGTTCCACCTTATATACGTTTCTTCGTTTAGTCACGTTTTTGCTAAACTAAAAACCATCCTTTCATATAATTATTTCTCTTCATTTCTCAGTAATTCCTTTTTTCCTGTTTGTGTGCAGCGAAGTATGGAAGATCGTTGGATGAAAGATTAAATGAATGAAGACACGATATCAGACCTATAACCTTCACTTTTACGTATAAAAAGCAATTTAATATCTATAAGTAACTCCAAATTTACGCGCATATCAAAATTATTATAGTTAATTAATTAATCAAAAACCGAAAAGGATCGGAGGTTGAGAGCTCAGAGCTCAAGCACTACATCAACAAAATACTTAGATGAAGCTGCATTTCTCAAAATTTTGTATTTATATCATTTTATTTGCCTTAAATTATACACGTGGCGATGTACGACTTCATCCGTATACTGTGTCATGAAAAAATCAAACAGAATATACTAGCATAAAGAATAACACGTTATCAGAATCTTCGATACTCGAGCATAAAAAGTAAAGTTAGATATTAGATAAATGCGTAATTACATTTGCCACGTTAATATTACTTCAAGCAAGCTGGCTCCATTCTTCCATGGAACTCTTACAAGAATATGTTGTTGAGCCCAGGGTGGCCGAGTGGTTATGGCATCGGGCTTCAAAGTCCTAGGCTGCATGCCTTCACCTAGCAAATTGTATAGAAGAAGATTTTCAGATAAATGTTATCAAAAAATAAAATAATTCTTGAGTGAAGACTGCTAAATTAGTAGCAATGGAGAAATATCCATGTCTCTTTGGTAAAACGAGTGTTTATTCTAAGAGAGTGAAGCATCTGCCAAAGGGTCATTGCTACCCGATTCACTCAGTGAGCGCAGGTTCGAATCCTGCCCCTGGGAGGACATTTTTATTGTCTTTCCTACATGAAATAAGCTCGATGTCATAAGACTTGACTTAGTTTTCAAAAATATTTTCTTTCGTTTCCGATTATTTCACCAATTTTGTCGAGCAGATTTCTTTTCATGTTAAAATTTTATTTTTGGGGAAATTTCTCTTGTACTAACTACTATGCTTACAAAACTCAGAAGCTTATTTTATTACGGAAGAGTGAATACAGATCGAAACTCTTTAATTGTTACTTCATTTCAATTCACTACCTTGTGTGCAACTATGCATTTTTGCCATCGTTCGTTCAAAGATTTAAATGCAGATCTCAAACCTCCTTTTGCCACCTCTTCCAGTACCTTCGTCGCTGCACTTTTACGGAATTTGAGAATCGTTGCCCCTTAAGCAAATTATTTTCCCGAGATAAAAGTCATATGTGGTAAGATCAGAGGAATAAACTGGTTATGGAATTACTGGAATGGTATGTTTTGATAGGTAATTTGAGGGATCTGTGAACTGGCGCCTTATAGTGATGAATCAAGTATTGCTTTGCCTCCTCGGGACGGGAACTTTTTAATGTCTATAACGCGGATACACTGTACGTATTTGAACTGGATAAAACCTGTCCTAACTAGTCGTTCACGTCATACTCTTCACTTATTCATCTTGAAATGGCGTAATTTATTTACATTTGGAAACAATTTTAAAGTATCGGAACTTCCCGAACATAGTAGTATTTGAATATTGAATTTAATGGTCGATGATCTCTTTTTTGATGTATATATTGGGATACTTTTTAAGTATTGTCTATGATAAACTGGGGATAGTTAGTTCATAGACAGACAAACATAATCTTCAATAATTACAGGTGAAATTTATCAAAGTTTCTAATTTTATTAAATTACGTTCCTAAAGAATTACGTATTATTTACTATTCAGACGCATCGAGTTTATATGAAAGTTGCGCGTAGGTTCACGAAAGCGTCTGAAGTACCAAGGATGAGCGAGTGGTTATGACTTTGGACATGAAAAGTATTATGGGTAAATACCAGATGCGATGGTGGCTTTGACAATAATTATTCGTAGGCTATGCAGAAAAATCCGAAATGTGACAAGACCGGTAAAAAGTAGCATGGGTAACATTTGGATGTTCATATGTTAGTGAAAATCTGCAAGCGATGCATCAAAAGAACAAGCTGGATTCTTCTAGTAAAAGCAAAATTCACGGATTCGCAGGGATTAAAAATAAATAAATAAATAAACAAACCTACGCTATGCTTAGAACCCATCTTAAATCGAGAAGGATCACCCACAAATCTGTCACGCAAGTCTTCGTGGCTACGCGATTCACGGTGTGATCTCACAATTCGATTTCTACTTCTGGGTAGATTTTTTTTGAAGGAATATTTTCTTATGTTTTCAGCTTCTGTTGTGGGCAAGCAGTTTCTGTCTTGTTTGTTTTTTTAGAGATTTGTTTAGTTTTAGTTTTACATGAGCTCTTTACATAAGTTTTACACTTTTGTTTATAGAATCCTAATTGAAATTTTGTTTAATAATAATTTTTTTGTTTTTGAATTGTATTTTTTATATGTTTTGTTTATTTTATTTTGAATGTTCGTATCTAACAGGTTATATTACGGTTGACATTACTATATAAATTTATATATATAACAAAACATTCTCTTTTTTTAAAATTACTCTTGTATTTACATGTAATTTTGTTTCGTTTTTATTTTTTAAATTTTGTATTTTCGAAAAATTTTTCTGATATGTATCTGATATATATAATGGGGGATGTTCTCTTACAAAATTTAATGGAAATTTACTTATACTAATGAAAGTAAGTATTTAAAAGAAAAAGATTTCGAACCTGTAGTCCAAAACATCTTAGCATGATGATGTTCTATGGCTTGTCTTTTTGTATTTTGATTTCTTTAGTCATTGAATTTTGTGCGTATTTGTTTAATATCACGCTATTTACAGAAAGAATGTCTGTCTTATAGCAATTCTTTTTAGTACTGGTTGATTACTTTAGTTTTTCTTTTTTTCCCAAGAACAATTTTCGCATCTTGCATCCTGCAATTTGCAGACAGAATGTCAGCCAAGAAGCATTATCATGTTGAAGAATTAAGACGTTTTAAGCCAGTATATTGCAGAAGGAAGCACTTATCTTGAGCACTTATCTTATTCTATCTGATTTAATGGATGTTCGAAAAAGAAAATAAAACAATTCAAACAGACGATATCTGGGCTTTGTTTCAGAAACAATCAATTTCATAGAATTTTTACATTTTTTCTACGTTTACTAATATTTCGCCATTTAATTGAGACAGCACTGGAATCATTCTAATTTGTTAAAGAAGAAGAAGAAATGTTAGATAAACATTTTGCTCTCATAAAGATAAGAAATATTTCGCACGATCTTAGTTATATATGATCCATCAACATAAACTAAGTGTTAGATAAAAACGTGATTAGAAAAATTATTTAACTAGCAAAACTTCCCTCCAAACATATCTGATTATAAATTTAATAGTCAGAACGTAAAACTCATTCATCCGTAATTTCTGTTTTCTCAACTGAAAGAATCGCAGAAAATTTATACTATCTTTATGGATCTCATAAAGTATATTCTAAACTTTTAGAAAATACAATATGAAGAGAAAATAAAAAATTCTTCACTATAAAACGACTCCCGAAGCAATTCACTGAGAAAATACCCGATATAAAAATGCCTTTGAAAGTTATTGAGGGAGACACTTTCCCTCGAATGATTCCCCGTGATAGGAAAAATCAATATGAGATGGGAATTATGCAATGGGTTTTCGCAATGAGTCGGTAGAGGTTCCTGTTGTGGGGTATGTTTAACTTTCTTCAATAAGTTCCGAATCTCAGAATGCCAAGAAATAATTTTCACGAGTAAATATATTTTGCTAACGGTTTGGAATTCTTTCATAATACGGAAAGATCACATTCTTTTTCTTCATTTTTTGTGTCATCCGAACGGAATAGCAGCTAGTCAAAGCGGAAAGGAAAAGTACTGAAAAATGTTTTTAAAGAATTCAAATGAATACTATAAAGATGGGACTGTGACTTTTATCAATCACAAATTCTACGAATGAACGTGAAATGATAAAAATATATATGTTCCGGTCAATGTGAGAAATCGGTTATATACATAACGACCGAATTCATGCATTGACCATAACATATATAAATATGTTATGGTTAATGTGAGTAATCTGTTTTTATACAGTGTGACCAGTAATTAACGCTTTGAAAAGAAATGTCAATTTCTCGAAAACGGTTTGGCGTATCAAGTTCAAACTTGGCGGTTAGATTCAGTGCGTTGGCGGATTTTTTTTGCGCAGTCTCATTGAGTTGGCTTTTGTAGTTTATTTTTCAGTAAAAATGTCGAGATATAGCGTTTCTGAGCGCATTTTCATTGTTCGAACGTATTATTCGAACAACAACAGCCCAATTGTGACTCAAGGAAAGTTTGCGACAGAGTTTAAGCTTAAGACAACAGGTCCGAGTGTGTCGACAATCAATCGTTTGATTCAAAAGTTAGAGAGAACAGGTAGTGTTTGCGACGACATGTTTGGCAATGTGGGACGACCGCTGAGCGCCAAAACGCCTGAAAAGATTGAGAGAACACGCCTCATCGTACCAATGAAGTGTTTGATCTGCTTGAAGAGCACTTTAATGAGCGGATTTTGGCTTTAGGGTACCCAAAATCGAAAAATATTTGCATTGATTGGCCACCCTATTCTCCTGACCTGAACCCCTGCGATTCATTTTTGTGGGGTTATATCAAAGACAAAGTTTACGCTGGAAACCCCCAGAGCATCGAAGACCTGAAAACTGCGATATTCAGGCAGTTATTGAAAGCATTGAAACTTCGGCTCTTCAGCGAGTGATGCAGAATTTCGCTCTTCGTTTGCGCCATATTATAGTTACAGATGGAAGACACATCGAACATGTAATCAACTAATTCCCATGTATTGTACTTTGTTTTAGAATTTAAATAAAATTTTTTGAATCTGTAGTTTTCGAGAAATTAATTTTTAATATCAGCGCGTTAATTACTGGTCACACTGTATATAATAACGGGTCATTATTAATAATAACCGCATAAAAAAATCCGGATATTATATATAATAACCGGTTTGTCACATTGATCGGAACATATATACAAGAGTTCTATAACTGATTCACAACTAAAGTAGTATTTACAATAAATCACAAAATGAAATATCATTAAACCCTCAGACGAGCTAGTGTTGAACGAATATTGAATTTTAAAGTTAAAATAAATAAGATCACAAAAAAGAGTTATGCGAGGCAATTGAGAGAGAAAGAAAGATTTGCAGAGAACCAAATTCCAACAAGAGAATGCTCTATTTGTAGCATAAAGGAAAAAAAGTGAAACATCAAATTATTTTCTACATACGTCATTTCACCGCGTAACCAAACAATTCGGTTATAACCTGATTCTAAAATCTCTCAGGATTAAACGCGTTTCTATTTGTTTCCCTCTTTAATATGGTTTCTAGTTTAGTTTAATTGTATTAATGTCCCGTTTTTGAAGCAACATGAGGGCTATTTTGGGACGGACCTCGTAGTTCTGAACCGCGATCAGATGACGAGGACTACACCTGAGCTGGCACCCCCTCTCCAAGCTTCCGCACCACAATAATGGGAGGACGTCTGGCCCCCTACGTATGATTTAACGTGCAACACGCCCAACAGACTGCGGCTCTTCAGTGGAATCGGGTTTCCTCTGACTCCAAAGCTGAGACCTTAACACTAGGCCACCGCGGCCTCCAATATGGCTTCTAGATAATAGTGGCAAGAATTAGTTACATTAAATTTCCCTTTATGCAATACATATTTTATAGAAGATTATTATATTATAAACTAGAAAATCACCCGTCATGGCCTGGCGGGTGCAAATTGCCTCTTCATTCGAGAGATTTTCCTTCAAATTTGACGTGTTTAAATAGATCTATGT